CTATTGCATAAATAGCGCTATCAACTGCGAGGATCGTGCATCATACGTATTTAAAATGCGTGTGATCTTATGAACTGCGCTAAATTTGTACTTTTTTTAAACTTTGAATACAACGTTTTGAGTAACAAAAAATTCGGGCTTTAGTACATACCTGGTACTACGAATCGTTACGATTTTTTTCGAGTTGAAGAGAAATGCAAACTGTAGAAATGGCTAAAGCTTTGGCTGAGTTATTGAATTTAATTGTCTTGTGCTGACATTAGTCGTGGGATCCAATGTAGGGCTCCCAAGGGGTGGGGGGGGGGCAGTCACACTGCTTCAAATAGATTGTCATGACCATCTCCATGCCATTTTCCTTAAAAAAAGGCTTAAAAGTTGGGGGGTCCACAGGCACCCCAAGCCCCCCAAGCTATGCCTTTGCAATGGTGATTGAAACACTCTTGCAGGCAAGACTAATTCTGCACCTGGTTGCTACAGGGAATACTACATGTCTAGTGTTATTGGAAGAATCTATGATTAAACTGGCTGGTGGACTTGAGACAAAAAAATAATTTTTGAGTTGCATGGGACACAGTCCATGCTGTGATGAGGGCTGGTGCTGAAGGGAAGCTTTTAAATTTAGAGGATACCTAAAGCTCTTTCTATGCTTTCTGTTTTTAATTTTTTTTTATCTTTTTTTATATTGACGTTATCACCACATGTCTTGCTGGTAGTATCAGTAGTAGTCTTAATTCAATGAGATAAAAATTACATATCTTTGGTCACAAAGTAAAATGTCAAAAACTGGTTAAAAGAAAGAAAAGAGTAAAAACATGTAAAAATAGTCGGATCAATGTTACTATAAGTAGTGTTGGCCAACATGGCGACCGACATGTCAACCGACATGTCGGTCGACAGTCAGTCAACAGTCGGTCGACAGTCGGTCAATAGTCGGAAAATAGTCAGTCGACATGTCGGTTGATATGTCGACATATCGGTAGACAGTCGGTCGATATTTGACCGACACTTGGCCGACACTTGGCCAACACTCAGTTGACACTTGGCCAATGCTTCACCGATACTTCACTGACACTTAATTATATACCTGAAAGTTTATGCCTTCAAATCAAATTTTTCAATACCGACACTCCAACAATACAAAACTGCACGAGCGACGTTCAAACTATATTTACTGATAAAGTTCAGACACTTGACCGATAGACTACCGACACTCGGCTGATAGACCACCGACACTTGACCGATATTCCACCGACACTTGACCGATATCCCACCAAGACGCGACACTCCATCTCTCGGTTGACAGTCGGTCGACATATCAACTGACGTGTCGACCGACTGTCTTCCGACTATCGACCGACTATCAACCGACTATCAACCAACCTGTTGACTGACTATCGAACAACTGTCGACCGACTGTCGACCGATATGTTGGTCGACATGTCGGTTGCCATGTCGGCTGACACTAGCTATAGTAAAATTGATCCAAATAGTCTTAGCTTATGACTGACACTACCTTGCATTTGAAAATTTAAAAATTATTTCAGGCATGAAAAGGTTGTCATATGAGATGCAGAGAATGGTATCAGACCTTAATAATTCCTAAGGGGACACACACTATGAGTGCAAAACAGGAGGAAAATCTGTGATGTGTGGATTTTAATATCTAACAGCCATCTAACAACCAACAATCAGTCAACAATTTTCACTAGGCCTGAGGAAAATAATTGTTCTGAGTGATTATCAGAGCAGAAACATGAATCCTGTTTCTTAACTTCCAACTTGTAATGCATCAAGGAAACATGCAAATAGACAAAACATGTGGGGTCTAGTGTGTAAACAAAATGTTCAATTTGTGAACTGTACATAGCAGAACCATAAACTGAATGTAACCAGCCAATCAGCAGTGGTTGTCAATGTTCATTTGAAAGAGTGTTAAACAGGATTAGTTGTCTAAAATAAAGACAATAAACGCCAGTTCAATCTGAAAATACCCCTGCTATAGTCACCTCCCAATGGATAAGATATGATGCAACCTTCAATCAATCAACACAGGCACATTTCTATGATTATACTTGTCATAAGTGAATACACTAGTCTGTAAGTCAGAGCACTTTTGGATTGAGTGTTGTAAAACCAAAACCAAAAGTTATCACAATGGCCAATCAATAGAAAGGAAAAGAAAACCCTAAGGGCCAATGAGAGCTCAACAACCATACTGTCTAGAACATGGGTGACCAAGTTGTTGATTAGTTTTAGTTTTGCATCTGATTGGTTGAGGGTCAGTGATGCAAGTTTATTGGACCAATCACAGAGTTAAGGAAAGCAAAACCAATGTAGTCTGGGATTACTTTCAACACCAAATTGAAAATTAATCTAATGTTGAATGAGGTTAAGTGCAAATTGCATGCACATCATGCATTACTCTTATGGATCCTACAATGTTTGCATGCACTTAGAACTTGTTTTTGGGGGGATAACAATGTGCTTGTGTTGTTGCACTATGATCATCTTGCAATAGGTAATTGAAACAAGATAAGATGCAATCTTCAAGCAATCAGGGTGCATGCATCTTTGTGATCAACTGTGCAGTTATGACAATATTTAGTAAGATTAAGTGCAGTTTACTCACAGATCATGCATGTTCTATAGTTGCATGAATTTAGAATCTCTTTCAGGGATAAGGGCAGCCTGGATTCTTGAATAAAAGGCATGACTGTGTTATTAAGGAAAGGGGCTTTATTTTCACAGTATTTCCCATCAACCAGGGGCATAATCTACCACAGGATACCCAGTGATGGACTAGTAGTATAGTCAGTTACAATTAACCATCACATGCAAAAACTCCAATGTGTCATGAATGCCTGTGTGCAATTGATCTTCTGTGCACCTAAACACTGTCATATTCAGCCACTCCTTCAACAAATTCACTGGTTGCTTACCCGCCTATGTATCAAGTTTAAAACCCTTTTGATCACCTCTAAAGTACTCCAGGGCTCAGCTCCTAAATATCTCAGGGATTTAATTTCTGCTTTACTGCCATCCTGCGATTTACGGCGAAATAACAAGGGAATTCTTCTGAGCACTCCAAAGCATTTCGCTAAAGTTACCATAGGGGATCAATCCTTTATGGCAGCAGTGCTGCGGCTTTGGAACAATCCTCCCGTATGCATTAGATCTGCTTGCACCAAAAGTGACTTTAAACAGAAACTTAAGACATTTTTATTCAGCAAGACATTATGTTAGTACAATTAGTTTATACTTACTATTTCTTATAGCCAATTGTAATACACCGAATCGAAATATGGCATCCAATTTGAATTGCCATTGTTCTGGACTTACTAGCCTCTCACACACGTGATAATCCTTTTGTGTTTCCATGTGAAGACGAGGCTAGTAAGTCCAAAACAATGGTAATTCAACTTATTTTGTATTTATTGTAATGTTTGTGATACACATTTGATTATTATTAGAGAAAATGCTCAATATAAATATTAAATATTATTATTAATATTATACAGTAATAATCATGATCACTTCATGTCAGGCAAAAAATCATTGGGCACTCAACCTTTGATCGCAAACATTGAGCAATTGAAGAAACCTGGCCATCAATAAATAAATTTTGTGTTTAAATATCCTTATTCAATCCTGGCACATATTGAAGTCAATTAAAAAGTAAATCTGAGTGGGCTGCTACACTAATGCTCAAGAATTACAATATCGTCATTGCTTAATAAAATTGTCCCTATCATTGTCATTATTGTTATTACTATTAATATGAGTACCTGCACAGTTGTTATCAATATCACTATCACTAATGATCATCACACACTCTATTACTACCACTATTGCTACCATCGTGGGTCTTAAGATGAAATTCCTAACTAATGCCTCTTAAACATCTACGAAGAATGATGTTCAAAACCAGCCTTTCCCACCACTCCTTCCACCTTGTAGGATGTCTGATCTTAGCAACTTCAGGGGGACCAGAAAAAAAGGTTCAAGTAAGTAAGGTGGGATTAACACATTCAGGAAAAATTGGTTGATATGATGATACACTGTAAGACACAATTGACTTTTGAGTCCAGCATTATTATCAAAATATTCTGACCTCTAGTTCATTCATTTACACCATAATGTTAGTATTCATATTCTCCACAGTTCTCTCTGCATTTCAATCAGGAGCTTCTTAAATTGGTGATCATTTCCTTTATTCTTATCACCTTATCATTTGATTAAAGGCAGATGCTGTAGGGAGAAATCAGAAGCAGGTCACTCTTGAGATGTAAGCTACCAGTAGGTTGGATTAGAGTCCCATCTGAGGGGAGTGGGTAAAGCTGGGGAGGGAGGCATTTAGCCCCTTATTTTGCGCGAGGATATTGTTTTAATATGATGTACATATGTAAAAGGTATTTAAAAATGTTATGAGGGAGCATAGCCTCAGACCCCCTCAACAAAGTTTTGCCTCTGGCACTTGTTTTCAAGCCCCCTTCCTTATTGAAACCAGGCTCTTCCATTCTTGGATGGTTTATTCACAGAAACTGTTATAAGCTCTAGGAACTGTACAAGTCAGTCCAGTGTGCCACTTGTGGAACCAATTTATATTCAAAATAGTGGTGAGTTCAGGTATCTGAGGGTTAATAGTGTGAAGATTGAACAGTATTTAAAAAAATACAATCTTCAATAGGAAAATGCTACAATACCGTCTTGTAATTTAACAGGAAGCTTTCCCAAAGAAAGGGCAAAATCAATTTTTTGGCAATCATTTTCTGCTAGTTTATGGAGATTGCTAAATAAATAAAATGGTAATTTAGTATTTGTTTTAGCACTGAACACTTGGAATAATAAAGTGGCTGTATAAGTTAGGATGGCCATTTTTGAAAAGCTTTACAAGTCATGAGACACACTGGCCTTTTGATTAAGAATCCACTGTTTGAGAGCCTGGATTCCATGTGCCGTCAGCATACAGTGTTCCTCCACAAATCCTTCAGGAAGTGGGCTGTGAAGTCCAATAGCCACACTGGCCTTCAATGCAACACTACCATCAAAATTGACGAAACACATACGGACAGTGAGCTCTGTTAAAGGTCTAAGGAATGCTGGACCTCCAGGCATGAGAGCAACCAACACCTCTTCAAAGATTGCATCACACATTTGTTGTGCAGTGGTAATACCACGATTGGAGAGTGCATATCTGATGACTTCAAAATCAGGAAACATGTAAAAGCCACCCTGAGGTTTCACAGCTCTCACCCCTACTTCTGTAAGGTGCTGATAACTGTAGTCAGCTACAGCTGCCAGGATGCGACGTTCGTGGGCTATGTAAGCTTTGGACTCTTTAGATGGAGTAAAGTAGGTTACAGCAGCATACTGCACGGGTGCAGCGGCACATGAGTAAGTATGACTTGCAGCTCTTTTGACAGCATCTAACAAGGGTCTTAATTGAGGTGGGTAGATCTGATAGCCGACCCTCCAACCTCCTGCACTTGCCCACTTTGACAAACCTGAACTCAGAATGGTTCCTTCTGGATAAAATTTGACCAATGAACAGTGAGAGTCTGCAAAGTTCAAGCGTCCATAAATCTCATCGGATAGTACGATTGCATTGTGTTGTCTGAGCACCGGTAGTAATGCTTTCCAGTGTTCCTGAGCGTACGCAGTTCCTGTAGGATTATCAGGGTTGACCAAAATGATGATTTTGTTCCTTGCTCATGATCGGCTAAGAGCTCGATCTAAGATGTCAGGGGTTACTCGCCAGTCGTGCCGATACTCAGTTGTAATAACAATGGCATCGTGGTGTGCTAGGCGAGCTTGTGGCTTGAACGTTGTCCACGTAGGAGACAAAACGAAGACGTCACCATTGAAAACCGCTAGGAGAAGGAAGATCAGCTCTTTAGAGCCTGGTCCAACAATAACATTGTCTGGAAAAACTTCAAAACCGTCAAATTCTCGATGAAATTCACAGATTGCGTTCCTCAGCTGTGAGATTCCAGCCACGGGCAGGTAAGCATTCTTATCAGCGTTCTGTGCGAGAACCAAGCGGGCTGACTCTACCACTGGAAAGGGTGACTGACCGAACGCTAAATGATACACTTGCTTTCCAGAGGCCATAAGCTCTTTCACCTTCTCGTTTAACTGTAAGTTTGAGGCAGAAGCGTAGTTGTTAAGATCCGACCGAACGAGACCCTCGCCAACCCTGGCCATTGTTTAGTTGTC